GTGTCTTAGATGGTGTTCTGGCCTCACACAATCGATGCCCGAGAGGCAGTCGTTAAAGAATGTCAAACAAGGGATGGCTGCTAACGACCCTTTTGCCCTGGCAGGCACTAAATTGGGTGTGGGGTGAGGGCGGGTGTTGGGGTTTTTGTGGTTGCTTTTTAGGTGGTTTTTTTTGGGGGGGTTTGTTTTGCTTTTGTTATGCTTTTTGTTTTGTTTATGTGGGGGACATATCGAGTACGCTGCAAATTCTGATTTGCTAACTATGATTTTGTTTCTGTAGTGTTGTCAAGTTTTACAGTGACTCATAAAGGGCCTGGATTTAATAGAAAACATGCAAAACCAGTAAAAACAAATAACCTAACAACCCCCCCCCCCAAAAAAAAAGAAACAACCCCACAACCCGTTTACAACGAAACAGGCAAAAACTACGTTATAAAACAAAACAGCAAAACAAAAAGTAAAAAAAAAGAAGCAAAACAGCAACCAAAAAATTGAAAGCCCGACAAATATTTCGTAATACTGACGATGAAGAAGCAATAGCATTTCGAATTCAGAATGTCTTTTTTCCGGATGACAAGTTCCTTGTTCAATCAATGAATTCCTATAGACCTAATTGTGTTTAACAGTTATCAAAACAATTTTCTGGAGCAATGTGTCAAAGGAGGAAACAACAGAATTTTACTTCCCGCCCACAACCAGAATCCCACACATTCTTTATTTTAGCACCCCAGGGAAACAACAATAGGATAACGAGCATATTTAATGCCGATTTCTTGTCTTGGTATTCTATGGTGATAGGACAAGCGCTCGTGCCTTGCTTAGAATATCTCTCCTATTTTTTTTCTGGTAAAACCACATTGTATAAAACATCATTTTAATCTATATAGTATCAAACCCTGTTTTCCATAATGACGCAAATCATGAATTATTTTAAAACAGGTGTGAAGCAAAATAAATATTTTAACAACACGCAAACCAAATAATATGTTAAAAAGAAAGATAGGAAGAAAAAGAAAAAAAACACACCAAAAAACTAAGAACGCCACCCCTCCCTGCCCCCTGGCTCATCAAAAGAGGTTATATTACAGAAAAACAAACAGACAAACAACGCCAGCCATTATAACTAGAGAAAAATACTTCTTTTTTTCTACTTCTTTTTTTTTTCTACTTTTTTCCTACTTCTTTTTTTCCTCGAGTGGACATTGATTTTCATTAAAAGTCTGGCTGGCGCTCATCAACTTCTATGGGTCCATTTATTGGACACAAGGTCCTCTTATTCGCGTGACCCCCGTCGTGTCGTCAGTGGTCATTATGTGGGTGCCAACAGTATACGATTTCCGCGTAATCAGCGGCCAGCTTCTACTCTTTGCTCATCTTTCCCGGCACGAACAGCCACTATCAGACCCAATATCTCTGATCAGACCTATCATTGATGACAGTACCAAGGAATACTGTCCTGGATATTCTACGCCCAGCCAAAGACGTTGTCATTAGACTCCTCTGACCCTAATGGGATTTTTTTGCCCCATTTTACTTCCGGAACATAATAGCCCACCCACATGGACCTTTCAAAGAAATGTGATAATGACGCCCATTGTAGAAAATTCTGCTTCTCAAGTAGCGTGTCATCTACAGGCATACAAGGAAAAAAAAAGAAAGAAAAAGAGCGCCCCCCTCTCTCTCTCTCTCTCTCTCTCTCTCTCTCTCTCTCTCTCTCTCTCTCTCTCTCTCTCTCTCTCTCTCCTCTTTCTCTCTCTCTCTCTCTCTCTCTGTGTGTGTGTGTGTGTGTGTGTGTGTGTGTGTGTGTGTGTGTGTGTGTGTGTGTGTGCGTGTGTGTGTGCGCACGCGTGTGTTTGTATATAATTATATATAATATGTTAATATAATTTTTTACTAGGTAGATTCTATGTTATATTATTATGCACAAAACATCTGAAAAATGAAAGAATTATATACTGAGAACATGAAAGAAATATAGTGAGAAAAAAAAGAAAGTACATAATACACTACAGACTGCAGAAATGTGCAAAAGCATACAGGCTGTATAAACTTTGTAATACAATTGTTTAAGCAAGAGAAACTAGACTTAAATACAACAGAAAACAGAATCTAACCACAATTACATACAAACTATTGGTGCAGACACTCTAAACACTTAATATTTCGAATGTTTATTAACTTTGGAGGTATCATTCTAACGGTATAGACCTTTCAATCTAGGTGTTTTTAAGCCCCAAGGACATACTTTAGATGATTTAGGAGGCGGGCTTCGACCATTCCTGTCAGGGCCAACCTGGGTTGAGAAAGATACAACATCCCAGCAGAAAGACCGAGATACTCAATAAAAAATTCTCCTCAAACGAATGGGAATCGAACTCCGTTTTCTGCGTGCGACAGCGAAGCGCCTAACCACTGCACCACAGACGTGGAGGGTATAGTCCTGAAAATGCTCCTACCATTATCATGCCGTAAAAGGACCCCAGTCGTCTGTCCCCGCCCTACTGCTGGTCTGACCTGGGCTTCTATGGGGCTGTGAGAGAGACGGGGGACAGATGCACGGGTTCCCCGGGTAACGGCAGGTGTCCTTTGTACCACCAGACGCCCGCTCTCACATGTCCCCGGTCAGGAAACGGTCACCATTTCCGGCAGTTTGGGTTTGCAGTTTTTTCTAGGTCGTTTTTTTTTCAGCTGTCGGAAGTATTTTATAAATTTGCTCCCCAGCTGTTGTTTCAATTTGGTTTAGATTCACCAGGTGTTTTTCCTTTGGGAGAGGAGGCTGGTGGGTGTTCCGTTGTTTTCCAGGTTTAAACTTAAGGGAACGTTATTTCCAAGGACAATTATATTTTTAAAAATGGTTTGCACACCACAGAAAAAGCTGTTCCTACTGATTCTCTTTAACTATTCGTTGTCTCGACACGTCAACTCGCACTCGAGTTTATTTCCCTCCAGCTAATAATATTCATCAAATAATGAACAAGAATGCTACTGTTAAATCGTCCACTTTTTATTTTAACCTATAAATTACTTTGACATATTGTTCGATCGTAAATGAAGGAATGTAGATATATACTCTTTACAATACTACTCATAAAAAAGAGGGAAACCAATACAACTGGCTAAAATTGCTTAAGTTGCAAACATTTTCTTTAAAACATAAGAAATATTAGAGAACTTAGTTCTCTCAGAGAACTTTAAAGTTCTCTGATATTCTTAAAAGATCAAATAAAAAGGGAAACATGAAAACAAACACAAAACAAACAACAAACGTATCTTAATGTTTACAGGTTCTTTAAGTATAATTTACGATGTTAGGATAATAGATCAGCATTCTCACAATAATGTGTACGAGTGGTAGCAACGGTGACGAGCGTACGAATGATAAGCCAGGCACCGAGGTTCGAATCCGAAAGTGTTTTTCCTTCCCTTCAAAGAAAGTGTCCTCCATGTGACCTGATCGGGAGCACTGGGCACTTTGGTTTAGATTCACCAGGTCTTCAAAATCACAGATATTGTGTTTTGAGGGAAACATCGTCCACTAATTTTTTATATTTGCAGGACACAAAAAGCGCTTATAATGAAACGCAAAGGCGTAATTTATGAGTCATATATATCTAAAGGAACACAAACAAGTTCCATTAAGCAGTTTTCACGCTATTTCATGGATAACCTTACATAACAACATGTATTGTAAGGCATCATAACAATTCTACTTCTCTGACTGAAGGTAAAGAATAGAAATGATGTTGTTGTTGTTGTCAACTTAGCGCCCAACAAGGCACGTGTCATTTGAAGGCAGATTCCTGCCAGGTGGTTCCCCTCCTAGCCTCCCCCGACCCGGTCAGGACACGAAGCAGAGTAGAAAATATCTTGGATTCGAACCTCCGACTTCCGTGTGGTAAATAATCAAGCAACTACGGCATCACGCCGGGGCGCCATGTATTAAATCTGCAATAACAGTAAGTGGCATGACAAAAAGAAACCTTTGACGAGTGCACCACCTAGTTGTCAAGCCTACGTACCTAACAGTTTGTCTTTTGTCCTCTCTTATATTAAACAGGAAGTCGCTCGGAAGTAGATCATCTCTCTCCTATTTACAGCATGGATCTAGCTTCCTTTCGGTGATACTACAAGAAGTAATTAATCAAATCAACCATCACGATGTGACGCACTTCGCTTTCAACAGAAGTCATTGACGGGCAGTACGTCATTGTCGTGATTTTAATGAGTTTAGGATGATTCACGTGTGAAGGGATCACGTTACACTCTGATCAGAGCGTGCAGTCCACGAGTAATTTGTCCTCTAATACGTTCCACACCATGTAATATCATTCAGCACAAACACGTGAGGAAGGTAATATTTTTTAAAGAATGCAAATTCATCATTATGTCATGTCAGAATATACTAAATGAAACTCAAATAAATCTTCCAAGCTATTGTGAAGAATAAGATTAGTCTCTCGAAAACTTTTGTCATAAATACGATCCGAGACACCCCTTTACGTTAGGTCTGTATAATGTTTTCAAAGCTCGTTAATAAACTTTCAGAAATATTTAGCATCGTATTCTTTTGTAATTTTTCTGGGCTTACATTTCAAATCGTACGCACATAAGAAAACTTAATTTATTCAAAAGTCTAGCAAACTAGTGTTGCCAAGACACAATACTTCATATTTGAAGGGGCAGGTGAGGAGACATTTTTTTAGAATCTGCACTTAGGAATATATATATATATATATATATATATATATATATATATATATATATATATATATATATATGAATATATATCAAAACCTACAGATCAGGAGCTGCTACATTGTGGCTCTGGTTGATCGATTTCTGTCAAACCCAGTTTTTATCACAAACATCGAGGTAAATGAGAGGTATGTTCCCACAGAAACTTAAAGATAACGAGAAATGATCAGAACAAACACACACGCAAACAGCTTATTATCCTTCACGGCAACAGACATGTTGACAAAGACAGATTATCTACAAACCTGCATGAAATCCAATTATCGGGAGGAAATCACACGCAGAGATATTATCAGCAAGAAAGCGCCTTCACAAGTCCTGGTGAGTAAAGTTCCACCTCACACACACACAGAACAAGACCACACCAGTCTTGGAAATCCTTCACGTGCTCAGAAAACAAAGTGGCACGGGTTGCTCTCCCGCTAAGTGGAGTCTGTGAGATTACTGCGGTAAGATAAGTCTTCTCCAAGAACCTGAATTCACACAGTTCTGAGCGTGCAGCGATGTCTGGGAACTCGGGAATAACACTGGGGGTCCAGTAGCGGTATTCTGTTCAGATAGGAGAGGCGCGAGCGAGCTGCCAAAATGCGTTGTTGTAGCCGTAGTAGTACGAGCAAGTGGTTGTAGAGAAAAGTAACGTGAGAACAACACACAGCGACGACAAGGCCGCTCTAGATCTAGACTATGTTCGTCGTGACTACCAGAACGCTTGCAAGCTAGCTGTGAGAAAAAGAGAGGTGTGTGGGGTATTTTATAGCACGGCGCTCGATCGGGGAGGCTCTCCGTTCCCTCGCCTGCCGCCACCGGTGCTCACTGTGTCGCCGTTTGTTTTCCTCGCTGTCGTCACTGACGCCAGAGCCGCCACCATGACCGCGCGACCACCACCACCACCACAGCAACCACCCACCCACCACCACCACCACCGGGGATGACGGCAGCACCAGCAGTAACAACAGCAGCAGCAGCAGAAGGAGTAAGAGAAGGGTGGGGCAAAACAGCTTCCGCCGCCAGTAAGAAGGAGTGCTCACGTCGTGAAAGAGACACGCGTTTGGGGAGGTTAAGGTGAGGATTCCTGGAGGGGGAAATCTCTGCTGGCTGCGAGTTGTGAGGATTGCAGTGGGGACAGGAAAGGGGTGGGGGAATCCTGTATAGAGGGGCGTTCTTCTTTCATCTCAGCTCATTTCTGTTTGCGTACGTACTTCCGTATACATACAGCGCGTCATCATTTTCGGTTTCCACCCTCAGATTCCCTCGAAAAGTTTCATATTGTACTGTCAAATTGGTGCCAGGTTTTTTTTTCAATGTTTTTCTTCTTTCTTTTTTTTCTTTTTCTTTTTTTTCTTTTCCTTCCTTCAGTTTTCCTTTCTCTCTTTTTTCATTTTAACCCCTCCCCCCTATTCTCTCTCTCTCTCTCTCTCTCTCTCTCTCTCTCACACACACACACACACACACACACACACACACACACACACTCTCGCACTTGTCAATATTTTGACTTTGTGTTTTCTTTTATTTCTTTTTTTCATGTATTTCTTTTCTTCAAGAGGAGTTAGGGAAAAAAAGGGAGGGGTGTCTTTTTTTAATTAAAAAAGATCCGACAACACAATATATTTGCACAATACAAAAACACAACATGCTAAAACGAGCGCACGCCTCCATTCTTTTCAACCTACCCCCTTCCGTTAACAATTATCATAAAAACCACGGGATTGGTTTCCGAAACAAACGATACTAAATCCATTTAAGAATGAGGGGATTCCGACTTTGCTTCTTGCTCGTCTAACAGTTTCATACTGACACATTTGAAAGAACGGTTAGAGGGCTCTCATGGTCTAGAGATTAAGCGTTCGCCTCTCGTTCAAAAGGTCCTGGGTTCGAATCCGGATAGCGACGGAAAATTTTCTTCACTAAAATTTTCTCCTTTCGCCTTTCACATCCTCTCCTGCTCTCTAACAACGTTCTGTCGTTTGCTTTCGTCTCCACTTTCTGCCCCCCAACCCCTCACCTCCTTTGCCCCCTGCTTTTGCCCCCTGCTCAGGGCTCTTGACTCTTTCTGCAGCTTTTCTACTGCTACTCCTTAGCTCCTTACTGCTGTCCTTTTTGGTAAGTGTTTTACGGCGCTCGCAGCTAAGGTCATATGAGCGCATGGGACACACCAAACATTTTCAATTTGTGGGAAATTTTGAATTTTGCCCGGGTGGCGGCTGAAACCTACTCTTATCTATTTTGGACCACCAAAGGATCTTTAACGTGCGCAACTTGCACACGGGACATCCGAGATTTTTCGGCCTTGTCCAAGAAGGCTAGGTGTAGATCTTTCCTACCAGAAGATCAGAGGTGTGGCTGAAAGACAGCAGTAAGAAGGAGCCAAGGAGAAGTTATAGAAAGGCTGCAGAAAGAGCCAGGAGCCTAGATGAGGGGGCAAAGGATGTCAGGGGAGGGGGGGGGGGTAGAACGTGGAGACGAAAGCAGACGACAGAACATTGCTAGAGAGCAGGAAATGAGGTGAAAGGAGACAATTTTAGAAAAGAAATGTTTTACGTCGCAAGCTGGATTCGAATCCAGGACCTTTTGAATGAGATGCGTACACCTTAACCTCTAGGTCACGAGAGCCTCCTCGAAATTATTTATTTCTACCAAATATCTGTACATATATCTCTCTGCCTCCCCCAGTCTCAGACGTCTCTTGGGTTGTTTGCTTTGTCGTATCATTGTTTTGACTGTATTTTCATGTCCTCCTTTTTGACAATTCACAGTTCCATCTATTTATAGACATGTTGGTCTCATAAAGAAGTAATCACACTTAAACTTTGACTTAAAAGAGGTGTACGTCTCAAATTAGTTCGTACGCTTAAAACAGATAAGATGGAAGCTTGTTAATCCGGTATTATTGTATCGCTACATTTAGATTACACCCCCCCCCACCCCAAAGGGCCAAAATCCTTTTCTGCACATACGGACATCCTACTTTTTGTCTCTCCTCTTGACCCAAAGCACCCTATCAAATGAAAATTTATGCAATCTTTTTAATATTTCACCCTTGTTTCCTGTTGTCAGGTATTTGGAAATGGATAAATTGTTAAATTGCCTTACAAATTCACTTTTTTCCGCAAACCCGTGCTTGAGCAGAAGTCAGACTAGGTCACACGTGTTTTCAACGGCAATCAGACAAAAATTCAAGCACGAAAAACGTATTGAACACATGATGAATATACATAACTGCTGCAAGTTTGTTTGTTTTTTTACGTTGAAACTTTCACTTGTATTTTTTCCTGCCCTCTCACACCGAAAGCTGGAAACACACAATCAGATAAGTTCACTAAGATTCAGAATTTTACCAAAAGTATCCAATCACAGTTAAGGTACAATATACAAATACGTTTTATATGAATCTTTGATTGGCTATCTTTATTCTAAACAGTTGAAAAATTACTTGTTTGCAAGATTGTTTTCAGCGGTATTTTGAACCATGCCCTTATATTGTCAATAAAAGGCATCCGCATATTAACGTGAGACAGTTCAAAAGAGTTTATCGTTTAGAATTGCAGCACAATGATCGTCGTTAGAAACACAATTGCTGGCAGTCGCAGAAGATTGGTGACATAAATTGTTGCATCCATTTAAATGACATTCTGACCCGGTCGCGTAAAATGTTACTGGAAATAGGTTATTAAACGCCCGAACTTCGAACTTTACAGGCGCTTTCAAACAAATATGAAAGAATAATGTTCATGGAAAATCCACGTCTCAAAAAGCAATAATTCCAGTATGTTTTTCTTAACAGCCGAGTCCTTTTCGCTTGTTTGTACCTGACAGCAACTTTAATGGATTAATTTGAGCCAATTACACACACCACAAGCTCTGAATCTTAAAAGTTGCTAAGCATCGCCTGGGTTTGACGTTTTAGAGGGGGGAAGATTTATGTCGAGCTGGCATTCGGGGCTTAGAGGGAGCCATAAACTGCAGGGAGGCTGCAAAACCTATTAGATGGTGTTGTGTTTTTCTCAACATGGAGAATGAAGACGAAAGAGATCGATATTACGCTCATATGCAAAGGTCAATGAAGATTTGGAAGGAGAGAAGATGGATAATGTGAAAGGCGTAATGGTTAAGAAAATGTTTTCGAAACAGGAGAAAAGAAGTTATAAGGTGTCTCTAAAAAAAGATCTGTTTAATTAGCTGTAACTCGGTCATATTTTTTTCAATTTCTAGTAAATTTTAGGCAAATAATATTCAACCAAGAACCAAGGACGTTTGTCAATATGAGGAAAATCGATTTTCGTGGTCAAGTAATATCACATTTTTGAATTTCAACCAAAACTGAATTAAATGCAGAACTTTACAAATTTAAAAGATTTAAAAAGAGAGAAAAAAAAAAGTGTCCATTAAATTATATATTATAAATTTGAAACTGACTTTGCAAAGTCAGGGACGGCGGTGGCTATTTAAATCGTATGCTCCAAGTGTTGACCATTTCTCTCCAGATAAGCTCAAATACGCTGCTGGAAAGTTTGAACAACTGTGCGGCATGTTTCTGGGTCGATTCTGTGGACCTCCTGTTCAACTCGGAGTTTGAACCGTTCGATTGTTTGTGTGCTGTTTCCGTAGAATCTGCGCTTTCAATGGGTCGTCTTTTTATTGATTGTTTTATCATCTTGACACACTGTCGGTAGCAATTTCCGTTTTAGATAAATTTATTCTTTAATGCATATTATCATGGTTGTTTTTTCCAGAGTTTTTAAGTTTTGAGTTTTACTCAATTTAGGTTGAAAAAGGAAAAACTTGATATTTTTCAAACATATTGGTTGCTTTTCTT